ATAAAAAATAATAATATTCCATTAACACCGTCACTATGTATGTATTTTTTAATCAATATTATTTTTTACATGTAATCCATTATTTGCAGAACGCACATATTTTTAACCTTCTTTTATACCTCAATTGTTTACGTCATTAGAAAGCATATAATAGGATAATTATTTATGTTATAATATTTTTAATAATAAATGTATTAATTTATTTAGAGCATACAAATATATATAAACTAAATTTAAGTGTAATTCCTTTACATTTATATATAGTTTGAGAGTATTAACTTTAATAAATTGTGTTAATTTTATCACTTCTACACTTCTTCAGGAATGCAAATCTACCTGTGTGTGTTATAATAATTATTAATAAATGAACATTAAATATTAGTACTGATGTTTTCATATCGAATTAATTATATTTTAATTTATTAAACCTAAAAAATCTAGGTATACTTTTCAATATTTATTATATAATAAAACTGTAGAACAACATGACAAAATATTTTATGCTTCAATATTTTAACAAAATTCTTACACTTCTATTTTTTGCTTGGATACAATATTATTCCAAGGATCATGTAAAATTATAATATCTCAAATATTTTATTTTTTTTAATGTTTTCTTTATTTTTTAATATAATTTCATGATACAAGAATGAATATTCTTATTACTAAAAATTTTATTTATGTTTTTGATTTTTAGGAAGTTCCTAACAATTCGGTGGACAGTATAAAACATGTAGTAACATCATTAGGTAGAAGTAAATGTAGGTTGTTATCAATATATGATATGTTATATGATTCAGAACACGAATTCTTAAAAAATAATGATATGTCTAATATTAATATACCAGAATTCAAAGGAAAAAATAAAAAATACAAAAAAAACATTTTAAAAAATATGGATAACTACTTTGAAAAAAAATTATTCAAAAAGCTTAGTGAAATACACCATTATATGCATGAAAGAGATATTCATGGGGAAAAAAATACTAATGGGGTTTATAGGAACCTTTCTATAATATTTACATTACCTGTAATTGTATATTTATCTGGATATTTTATTTTTAAAAAAGGATATGAATGGAATGTAAATTTAGCTAATGTTTACATTTTTTCTTTTGTTTTAACTATATTTATGCTTGCTTATATTTTCATAAAAATATTGAAACACCGTGTACTACTAGAAGGGAAGTTAAATCCCAGATTAACTGATTATATTTATGCATTTAAAAGTCTATTTAATTAATTTCTAATTATCACAATAATTTATTTTATTTCACTTGTGATATATTATCTCTATGCATCCTTAAATTATTTTATGTACTATCCATTATTATAAAAATTCATATAAACTAATTTAATAGATATGTATACATAGTTGAAATGAAAAACATGTCACTGAACTGCTATTTTCAAATCATAAAGTCCCTTCAGTTTTAATTTATAAATGTATATTTAGAATGTCGTCCTTTTCTTTTGTGGAAAGTATTGTTATTTTATATGTATACATAATTATATAAATTTATATCATTCATATATGCATTTTTATTTAAGTTTTGTATTTATTTTTCATATTATTTATAAGACATTAACATTCATGGTTCAGAGAGTTCCAATGTAGTGATATTTATTTCCTTGTGTTCGGCTAAGTATTTTGTAATAATTTTTAATTCTATATATAAGAAAGTAATATGTACGATTCAGATAGTTCCATTAAAATATTATTTATTTTTTTATATTTATTTTATATTTTTTGTTAATCATATTGGTTGCTTTGGTTTAGGGTTCAGGCTTTAGGTTATGAAATTTAATGGTTTAGGTTTTTAGGATTTAGAATTCGTGGTTCAGAATGAATTTTTAGGTTTCAGTGTTTAGTATTTATTGTTCATTGATTATTTTGGGGGGCTTAGTGTTATTGTTTATTTATAGGTTAGGAGTATAGTTTATGGCTGCACTTTTATTTTTATGTTAATGATTTATATCATGATTATTTTATTTTTCTTTTATTGTGATTTTCTATATATTCAAACTTTTTTATCCACTTCAATTGTTTTTGTTTTTTCAATTTTTGTTCATTATATATTATTTACATATGCCAACAATAAGTAGCCATTATTTAATATAATAAAATTATACATGACAGATATCAGATTTAATATATCTTTATATATTATTATTAATATTTCCCCCCTGTGGAATTGGAATTTTTTGTATAGTCTATATATGAAAAATGTATTTAATTTTTGACCTCCTTAACTTATTGTACATTATATAAAATTGTTTCTTAATTATTATTTTATCATTTAACTATTATTCTATAGTTCTATTTGTATATGCATTGAAAGGTAGATGGTCTTAACTTATATTATTTTCGTGAAAAAAAACATCTATATGATCTTCCTAATCATGTTTTCATAAGGTATAACTACCCTCAAATGCTTAATTTTGAGAAAAAATCATCTTTCATTTCTTTTACTTTCTGCTTAACTGCAAATAAAGAGATACCATATCAATTAGATAAACCCAAATTATCTCATCCTGATTTAGAATGATATCCTTTTTTGTTCT